AGAGTATCATCTGACTCATTTGTCTTTGGAGGTGGTGCTAGTGGTGCCGATGGTGGCACAACCTGTGACGATGATGACACCGCCGTCCGAAACACATCATGAAAGACCGCCTGCATTGCCAATTTAAGCTGCTCCTCACTAATCTGAAGAGGTGGATCAACAGTCCCCCTCACTTGCCCCCTTCTTAGTGGGACCAAATCACGCAACAAGACATCTTCATCAACTTGCTCTTGATCCCTTTCCACGGGATTGGAGCTAGAACTTTCCCCGTGGTCCTTTCTTGGTGGCATGACGCTATAAGAAAAAGGAAACAGGTCAAAAACGATGACACTAAAACACGTCCGAAAACTGAGTCCTCACATGAATGACTTGACAAGAATGGAAACACATAAACACTTTCCATACTCCCGGAATACCCAACTAATGATAAGCATGATCATGATAATAATATAAATCAATTTTAAACACTTAGCACGTAGTCACATAAGCATTTAAGCAATTAAGCATGCCTTTCAAACAATTTTAACACTTAGCACATAAGCATATGAACATGCAATTCAACTTCCCATGCAATCCTAGGTAGGCCTCTACTCGTCGTACTAATGGTATTCGAACCATTGCTCTGATACCAAATTTGTAACGACCCAAAAAGATACCAAAATAATAACAATAATAATAATAAAATATATAAAATTTCGGCATGACCTCCGCAAAGAAGTCCCTCTACAACCTGTTGAAATAGATAAAAATGTAATGGCCTCATTTGGCCTTAAAACTAATCTATCCTGCCCCAACGCACAATACAAATATTATACCACATTCCCAAAATGATTAAATACATATAAAAAGGTCCCGTTCCTCCATCTCGTCCAAACAAGGAACGCACTTTAATTACATCAAGTTACAGTCCATGAAATATAGCTAAAATTTAAAAGTCCATAATTTACAACATTATACTAATTAAACTAAAGTTTCACAAAATAGTTAAGATTACATTTGTTTTTATAACATCCACTACTACAACATTACACAAACTACACTTGGTCATTACAAGAGAATATGGTTCATGTTTCTACACAAAAGACCACAAAATGATAATCCCGATCCAACCTAGATTTGTGGTGGATTGGCGTCTGCCGCTTCTTTTCCCAAACCTAAAAAATGTTAAGATAATGGAGTGAGCTAAACGCTCAGTAGGAAGTGTCTAAGACACACTTCTTATGACCCCGTGAATCCACACAAAGAATAGGTAAAACGTAAGCGGGATCATGTCATAGGGAATACACATCAATAACACCACAACAAGCATGTAAATAAATATCATCCTATCACAAATACACCAAATATGCTAATGAATGCCATGTCATGTCAATGTCACTCCCCCATTTTCCAAAACAATTCATTTTTTGCCGTTCCAAACCGTTAATGCAATCCGGCCCATAGCACCTCTATGGCGTCACGAGGGGAGGGTTGGCTAGCTTTCCCCGACCACATGGCACCTCCATGGCGTCGTCTGGGCCTAGTTAGCTCAACCATATTAGAGTCTCTCTCTAGTTCCCTCTAGATCACATTAACACCACGGACCACTAGGCGCCTCCTAGGCGTCCGGATTTTTCACAAACACTTTTCAAAAACCATTTTTCCCAAAACAATTTCATTTCTTTCAAAACACTTTTCCCTTTTTCTTTCCCAATGGATGCATGAATGCTTCATGCTTCTAATAATTCAACAATAGAATTTTCACATATGCTTTCCAAAATAAATTTCTAAAATATGTAAGTCATGCTTTCATTCAACATGGATATCACATAGTAAGCATACAAAACCTAAATTCTATTTCACATAGGCATGCTTATACACAATATATCAACTAACACATAGCCACATTTTCATATACAACATTTAAGCAATTTGCAAGAATTCAAACTAATTAAGTATGCAAATCAACAAATTATAGAGAAATAACTCACAAAAGTATAAGAAATCATGTATTAGAGACCCCTACCTCCAAATTGAAGAAAAACCCCAAAATTCCCAATTTCAAGCCCTAAATTCGAAATCCCTAGGCTTGGCCAAATGGTGCTTGGCTCTTATCAAATCGACGGCCTCGACGAGCTCTCAGACTTTGGTTCACAAGGTATTACCAAATTCCAATTGGTGTAAGAAAGATCAAGCCTTGAAATTGTAAATGAAAAAAAGAAAAAGAAAGACGAAGCTACTGGATGCAGAGAGAGAAAAACTGATGTAGTCAATGGCCATTAGGCCTTTTGTGAGGTTTAATATAATGGTGGGGCCCACTTACCATTTAAAAAAAAAAAATCTTATAACTTTAACATTTATATATATATATAAAATCATAAACTTACATGTGGGCCGTGGCACCGGGAGCCATTCACTTTCATTGAGTGTATTGAGATGAAGTGCAACTAGGGCTCGAGGAATTTTGTCATCCTGATAGTTGTTATTGAAGAGATGCCAACATTTTAGGGCATTGTGACCTTTCCTTTTGCAAATAAGTCATTGAAGAAAAGTTGAGGTGTTTTGCACAAACTTTGAAGATGTTTTGGTGTCATGCTTGATTGAGAATTGTGTTGAGTATAGGAAGGCTAAGAACTAGCCTGAGTAAAACCCTGTCCTCTTCAGGTAAAAAAGGGATTATATCCACGCTTCTGTTGAGAGTGTGAAGTGGAATGTTGTCCAATGAATGCGAGTGAATGATATGCATGCTCAGAGAAATGGGACTTGTTCTGTAATTCATGAGTATGCTGTAATGGAATTAAATTATTGTAAGAAGGAACATGAGGCTTAAGCATAACTTTGGAGAATATTCTTGATGATGTGCTATGGTTGATACATGATTTGACTATGTGATTTACTTGAGTTGAGTCGGACTATCACGCTACAGAAATTAGAGTTAGGGTGTATGACCCCCTTCGTTTTACGGAGCTTAGAATCTTAGGTAGCATGACCTTTCATCCTTGGGATGCTGAGCATTTCTTGCATGTCCTTGGGGATTTCAAAGGACGCACTTTACTTGTAAAATCCACCAATCCTACCGAGCCATTGTGCTCGCCCCTATTATATAACATTTTTCTGGAAAGGAGTTGCTCGGGACGACTTTTGGAGTTGATGATACGCCTTGATTCTTTTGTGGATGTATTTTGATGTAAATGTACCTTAATGTATATTTTGAATATTTCAACCTCTATGTTATATTTTCTTTCCCTTGTGGTTGTAGATTTCATGTAACTGGTAATTGGTACTTGTATCTAGAGGACATGATTTATTGAGGCCACAAGGCCATTTTATTTGCAATGTATGGAGTTCTATTTGGTGCACACAATGATGCTTGTTGCACACACATTGGTCCACTATTGCCTTACCATGTTTTATACTTTATGAGCTGGCAATGCATTTCATTTTGACCATTTGAGCACATGAGGTTTAAGGGGGACTATTTTGGTTTCAAGGAAGAAAAGATGCATTTTTTTGAAAATAGTTTGGATTCGGAGTTACTGTTCACCAGTAGGTATTTTGTAACTCCGAGCACTCGCGGGCCACCTCCGAGCGCTCGGAGCATGTCCAGTCCCCATGCGTGGCGCACTCCTTGTGCGTGCGGAGGAGCACCCGGACACTGTGTGAGCGCGCTTCCAGGTCCCTGCTTTGGCACACCTTTTTCTTTTCATCCTAAAACTGAATCTAAAGGTTTACATTAAGTTGTCAAACGACTGTTTTGACCTTTGATTCCGCATTCGTGTTTGTTAGGACCCTTTTGCCCTTAGTTTCCGTTTTAGTGCCGTGTTTGAGTCTTGTTGACTTTATTTGTGGTTCCATTGTCGCCTTAGAGATGGTTTTTCATCTATAGTGGCGTCTTCCGTGTTTTAGCTTCTGCATTTTGGACTCGGTATCGGGTCACGGTTTCGGACCATTGTCGATGATGAACTGGATCACGGGATTCGGGGCGTCACAATATGTGTACTTTAGAACAGGATGTGCAACCATTTGATTGAGAAGATAGAGCTAGGAACTACAAAGGGAACAGGGAATGATAAAGCTAGATAGATCGTGCTCTTTAGAGCTTTGGTGTCTCTGATACCTTAAAGAAAACATAAGATAGGATGATTCTAGTAAATTCAGGTAATCTTTCCATTATAGAGTTTGAGTATATATAGGATTTTGTAGAACAGAATATCTACATAGTATCAGAAGAGTTGTTACTAGAAAATAGGTCTTGCTGCCATCTGTAGATGACCAGGTCTTTGAATTTGACTGTCTACATACGCGTTCTGTTAGTTTGAGCATAACCTGCCTGACAAAATAAATAAATGAAATACTGATCATAATAATATTGGTTTTATTTGTATTTTTCAAATATGAATCTTAAATCAATTATATTGTAGGTTGAAATGGATTACAGAGGTTGGACCGGAACAAATTGCTAGAAGCTAAGAGCTGAATTTCTTTTTTCCTTTTGTCCTTTATCTCTCTAAAGTAGAAATGATTACATTTGCGGATTTTGAGTATTGAAAGTTCATTTTAATTCTGATTGACCAGTTTTATATATGAATACTTCAATTATTTCTTCTTTTGGGTTTTTATGAATTCATCGTTTGAGTATGGATGTATTGTCCAGCCATCACCTGAAATAAGCACAAGTAGCCTACGGTCGCTATATTCGCTGTATTTGTGAATGCCTTGGTACTAGGACCGCTTGTGCATCCCCTAGCACCTACATAGAATTTTATATAAATCATGACTTTAGTTGTAGTTTTATAACCATCATATAGTTATCAACATTTTAAAGATGAATTAATCTATTTCTAACAATTTGGTTTATGAATTCAGTTGTTTATTATTATTTTCCCATATATGTTTTGACAGAACTATTCTTCTTTTTTCCTTCACAAAAATTGAAATAAGTATTAATTATGGTAACTGCAAATGTTATAAATAATGAATTTAGCTCTAGATCTTTCTATAATGTGCTTTGTATTTGATAGGCATGAGGCGAAGTTTATCCAAAAATTTGTTCAAGAGATCATAAAAGAATTGGGGTATATGCCATTAAATGTTGCCAAGTACGAAGTGGGGATAGATTCCCGTGTAAACAAAGTGGCCTCTTTGCTAGACAATGCGTTAAAGGATGTGTGCATTGTGGGTATTTATGGAACTGGTGGAATAGGAAAGTCAACCATTGCTAAAGCTGTTTTCAATCGAATATTTAATCAATTTGAAAATTGTTGTTTCCTTAGCAATGTGAAAGAAGTTTCAAAACAACATGGTTTAACTTATCTTCAACGACAACTTTTGAATGACATCCTAATGGAAGAAGATCAAAAGATACGTAATGTTGATTACGGGATCAATGTGATAAAGAAAAGACTTTGTTATAAGAAGGTTCTTGTAGTTCTTGATGATGTGGATAGTTTGAAGCAATTAGAAAGTTTAGCTGGAGCAAATGACTGGTTTGGTTTTGGAAGTAGGATCATTGTAACAACCAGAAATGAACGTTTGTTGGTGGAGCATAAAGTAGATCATTATGAAATGTATAAGGTTGAGTTGTTGAATGACGAAGAAGCTCTTGAACTTTTTAGTTGGCATGCTTTCAATAGCAACCATCCGTCGGAGGATTATCTGGAACTCTCACGAAGTGTCATAAATTATGCCCAAGGCCTTCCATTAGCTCTTCAAGTTTTGGGTTCTTTTTTATTTAAAAGACGCATACAAGAGTGGGAACATGAATTGGATAATTTGAAAAGAATTCCAAATAGAGAAATTTTTAATGTTCTCAAGATAAGTTTTGATGGCCTTAATGATACAGAAAAGGATTTATTCCTCGATATCGCTTGTTTCTTCGAAGGGTATGATAGAGATTATGTAATGGATATATTGGGCAGTAGTGGTTTTCACCCACGAATTCAAGTTCTTATTGAACGGTCCTTGATAACTATCTCATACAAGAATGAGTTGCAGATGCATGATTTGATACAAGAAATGGGTAAAGAAATTGTTCGTCGAGAATCACCTGATGATCCTGGCAAACGCAGTAGGTTGTGGTTTCATGAATATATCTATAAAGCATTTAGAGAGAATATGGTATGTTCTAACTACATATAAGTTTCTTTTCACATTCAAGTTGGGCAAATAAAGATAGGTTTGTTTATCTCTCTTTTATTTTTAATTTTTTTTTCACAGATAAGCATCTCTAAACTTGTATAATTCTCAGGTTTTAACACCGTACAGTAACTTACACCATGTTCTTGGTAATTAGGTGACAGAAACAATTAAAGGCATTATGCTAAATCTGCCTCATGATCAACTACCAGAGGAGTTACATGTAAACGTCGATGCCTTTGTTAAGATGAAGATACTTAAACTACTCAAACTCGATGGCATACGACCTTGTGGACGCCTTACATATCTTTCAAATGAATTATGTTATCTTGATTGGGATGGTTACCCTGAAAGGTTTTTGCCAGCTAGTTTCCATCCAAAAAATCTTATCCAACTTCGCCTTTATTGTAATCAAATCAAAGAACTTTCATCAGGCATCAAGGTATGATCATTGTTTATTTATACAATTATTGACATATGAATATTATTGTTGGGTTTTATTGAAACTAATTCATTTCTTTCGTTGCTTGCTTGCTTAACAGTTTCTAGAGAAGTTAAAATTTCTTAATCTCAGCCATTCTCTATATTTGGATAAAACTCCAGATGTGTCCGGTCTCCCATGTCTTGAGAGTTTAAATCTTGCTGGATGTACAAATCTAGTTGACGTTCATCAGTCGATTGGAGTTCACGAGAGGCTTGTTTCATTGAATCTTCTAGATTGTAAAAATCTGAGGAGTCTACCAAGAAGCATAAAGTTGAAAAATCTGAAATCTTTTAATCTAGCAGGATGCTCAAAAGTTGAGAAGTTTCCAGAGATTCAGGTGGGGCATATGGATTGTTTGAAAATTCTTATTTTAGATGAAACTGCAATAAAGGATTTACCTTCATCAATTGAGTATCTTAAAGGGCTTCAGTCTTTATCTCTAAAGAATTGCCGGAAGCTTAAAAGTGTTCCAAGCAACGTTTTTTCTAAAATGAAAGATTTGGGTTCCCTTAACATAGGTGGAACAGCTATAAAACAGTTACCATCATCCATTGTACAGTTGAGTAACCTTGGTAGCCTTGATCTAGTTAATTTTCAAGGATCATCTCCCAAGACGCCAAATTCGTTTATCCCATTTTCGTTGGTGCGAAAGAGAACTTCTGCTTCAACTATTTATTTGCAAATGGAACTGCTCTCCGGTTTGTGCACTTTGAATCATTTATATCTCAGGAATTGCAATTTATAAGAAGAATCCTTTCCCAACGATATTGGCCGCCTATCCTTTTTGGTAAGATTAGATCTAAGTGAAAACAATTTTTGTAGTATACCAGCAAGCCTCATTCAACTCAAAAAACTGAACCGCCTTGATTTGGAACATTGCACAAGACTCCGAACATTGACTTCACTTCCCTCATCCATATGTGAAGTGAATGCACATGGTTGCAAATCATTAGAACGGTATTGGATTCCATCAAATTTAGACAGTCCAGATGATCGAGAATTCATATTCACTGGGTGCAGCAGATTGGTTATGGATGACAAGAACAACATGCCAAATATATCATCACAGAGTATGCTCCAGGTTTCCTCTCTCACTCGCTTGCTCTATATTTATGTATCTGAACGAAAAACTGACCTTCACAATATTTTTATGGAGCAGGAACTTGGTGAAATATATTATCCAGGAAGTGAGATTCCGCAATGGTTCAGCCATAAGATCGAGGGTGAGGGCTCTTCGATGTGTTGGCGGGTGGACGATCTAACTTCTTACAATAACGTCAAAGGAATTGCTATATGTATTGCTTTGGAATCACATGGAATTTGCCCATGGATTGGATTCAATCTCAAAATCAATGGATACTCCATGATCGAATGGCCTGTACAAAAGCGAATTGAGTCAGATCATGTCATGTTGATGGTCAAAACAGAATATGACATTTTTTTTGATGAAGAATATCAACAACCAATTAAAAATTTGTTTCCCAATATTGGTGATGATGGCTCTTACATTGAAGTTTCTGCTCAATTCGACTATGGGCTGCATACTCCCCGCGTCAAACGGCAATTAAAGGTCAAGAAATTTGGTATCCATTTAATAATGGATGAGCAAGATGAAGGTGAGTAGACCCAGAGATGCACACTAGTCTTAGACACAAGTTTCATCATTGTCTTCAAACTTAATATTTCAATACTCATCATTAGGTAATTTAGATCACACCAACATCTTGACATATCATGATTTTCACAAATCAATTGTAGAAAATATACAGATTTAAAGTAGGATCCCACTTTTCATTAGTTAATGTGTTAAAGTCTTCTTTCTATTTTATTGAGTTTATAGTCGAGTTGAAGAGAATTGCTTTATGGAGTGTTGAATTTTGCTCATTATTTTGCTTCTCACATCTTGTACATATTTAGATGGCCTTTCAAACTGTTTATAATTAAAATCGTCTCTATTCGGTTTTTGCCATTTTGTAGGTTAATGGTATCATCTTATCAACCAATTCTAGTTACTCATCGGGGCCATGTTCGTGGTCGTGAGGATGTTGGTCGATCGTGAACCGATAGCTCCACTCTAGGTACTCGCTGTGTGATGCAATAAGAATGGCCTTTGGTGGTGGTAATGGGAACTTTTTATTGTGTAAATGCAAGCAGCTCTATTGAAAATAAGGAAAATGTTTTGTTGGTACCAAAGTCTAGTTTTTGGTGTTATTTACTGTTTCAATGTGAATTTGATCTTGTCATCAATTATAATTTCAACATTGGATTTTAGTTGTTTTAGCCATGTAATGGTCCCATTTTTATCCCCAAGGAAGACATGGTTCAATCAAAATATGACACAGATCGCAGTTCCAACACTACCCTTATTAAGTAATTTTCTGATCACATTACCGTGAAGGTAACAACATTTGCAGTAGAAATGACATTTCTTTGTTGATAATGCAAATTATTTGAGGCATGATATTAAATACCCTCAATAATACCTCACGTTACTCGTTACAATTTATTTTTTTATTATTTTAGTCGGCTACGATAATCTTATGTTTTTATTCAGTTCAGGTGTTATAGGTTTGTATATTACCAACAATTAATACTAGTACTAGCTACTTCTTGTTTCATTGTGGTGGACGTCATTTTTGTGTGACACTTATGCTTCATGAGAGTTGGTGTGGACAAGACGAATATTTTGAGTGGAAATATTTGTGGATTCAAAATCTTGGTCCTGTGTGATCGTGTGAACAAGACTAAAATTTTTTAATTACTTAGATCGGCTATGTAAATCTTATGTTTTTATTCGGTTCAAATAACGTCGCGTTATAGGCTTGCTTATATGTTACCAACAATTAAATACTAGTGCTAGCTACTTCTTTGATTCATTGTGGTGGTTGTCATTTTGGCGTGACACTATCTTTGGTATGGTGGGAAAGAAAATGAAAGATAACATTGTTACGAGGGCTGAGAAGGGAAAGATAATTTTAATCTACTATCATATTTGGTTGATTAATGAAGTAAAATAAATGAAAGGATAATAATCATCTTGGTTGATTAATTAAGGAAAAAAAATAAAAGGATAATAATCATTTTTGGAAAAAAAAAAAGAAAAAGGAAATTATTTTAATAAATTTATTATTATATTTTTTTATATTTTAAAAGATAAATTTATGGGCCTCAAAATTTATAGGCCCATAGTTAGCCCCAAAAAATAAATTTATAGATCAAAATCCATTCCATAATCCATTTTATGGGGATATCTTTTTTTTTTTTTTTTAGGGCAAATCATTTCAGCCTCCCCAATTGCCTCCATCTATTCTCGTTCTCAACTCTGAAGTTGCCCTCTCTCTCTCTCTCTCGCTCTCTCTCTCTCTCTCTGCAACTGCAAACTACAAAATCTACAAGAACCAGAAGTTCAAAACCCATATATTTGAGTTTATGTATCTGTCTGCAAGAATCAAAAGTTGAAAACTTATTACCTATATCAAAACCTATATCGGCATATCATTTCAGATTGTTCAAAAAATCAAAACCCATATCTTTCAGTTTCCATCGCCGCTGTTCCAGTTCGGGTTCGCCGTTCGCAAGCTTCAGCCGCTGTCTCTCAACTCTCAAGCTTGCCCCCTTCTCTCTGCAGCTGCTGACTGGTATGTATGGGTTTTGTTTGAATTTTTTTTCTAAATCAACTAATCAATGTCTGTAATTCTTGTTTTGCAAACTAAATCCTAAAACTAAATCCCAAAATCAAGTGTAATATTGATGTTGTGTAAAGATAAATTTGGCATAAAAAATAATACATCAAAGCTTTACTTGTTTTTCTTTTCATTTCCTCTAAAAAATGGAAGGATAAAAAAATTACTATTTAAGTCAAAATTATTCCTTTTCTTTTCTTTCCTTTCAAATACAATTTTTTAATCACCCTCAATTTTTTAATCACCCTCCGTTACCTTTTCTTTCTTTCCTTTCCTTTCATTTCCTCCCTTTTTTTTTTTTTTTTTTGTTTTTGCACCAAACTGACCCTTAGTCCTTTAAGGGAGGAAAGTTCCCAGCAACTTCTTTATATGTTCCCAAGTAGAGCACAGAATAAGGAAGGAAATTGCTTGGATGATGCTTAGCAATTGTTATATATATATATTCGGTTGAGTCCCAAGATTGTCTTTGTCTTCACCTTAGTCCTTAAGGGAGGAAAGTTCCAGCAACTTCTTTCTATGTTCCCAAGTAGAGCACAGAACAAGGAAGGAAATTGCTTGGATGATGCTTAGAAATTGGTCCACACATTTTCTTTCCATTCAACATGTAACATTGGACAATGCTTTTGGAAGATGTAAATTTTACTACTCAATAGGGGCATTAGGAAATCTTTTTTCTACAGCAGCCTAATTTGACCCACCTACACCTTTTTTCAGTCTTTATATTTTTCTTTTCTTTTCTTTTTTCCAGCTAAAAAGGTATTTGCTTTTATCAATAAAGTTGAGGAAAATTTACCATCAGCTTCCACAAAGGTCCTTTACCCAGAAAAAAAGCTTTGAGTTTCATGGAAACTTCAAGCTTTCGCTCTCTAAAGTAAAGCACAGTCTATTATAATAGAATTGTTGACCAATCCAAGTGTTAAAATGAAAACTGATATACTGATTATTATAATTGAATTGTAAATTTGCATAGATGACTTGTGAAATTATTACTATATCAAAACTATTGCAATTTAGAAAATGTCCAGGCACCGACTTGACACATTTTCTTTGCATTCAACCGGACAACTTTTGTGAAAGACCCCACAAAAGATGACTCCCATGTGAAATTATGACATATTAAATTTTGATTCCCAATAGGGGCATTAATATTAGCCACCACCTCTTTTTTTCAAATAGTGTTATTTGCTTTGATCAATAAAGTTCATGAAAATTTACCATCAACTTCTAACCATTTACTTATATAGGAACGAAATTGCTTGGATATGATTCTTAGCCAACAATTAAATAATCACAGGTACCGTACCGAGAAATATTGCATTCACAAATTAGCAAGCCTCAATGGATGCATTTCCTCCGTCGTCGTCTTCTTCTTCTTCTTCTTTACGATGTAATTATGATGTCTTCTTAAGTTTCAGAGGAGAAGATACTCGCAAGAACTTTGTGAACCATCTCTATATGGCTCTGCAACATAAAGGAATTTACACCTTCAAAGATGATGAGAAGCTTAAGAAAGGAAAATCAATTTCTTTGGAACTCCTCAAGGCAATCAAGGAATCGAAATTTTCCATCATCGTATTTTCAAAAAATTATGCAACCTCCTCATGGTGTTTGGACGAACTCGTACAGATCATTGAATGCAAGAATACAGTGGGACAGACAGTTTTGCCGGTCTTCTACAACGTGGATCCCTCACTGGTAAAGAAACAAAAGGGAAGTTTTGCAGAAGCATTTGTCAAGCATGAAGAAACTTTTAGGGAGGACAAAGAAAAGGTGCAAAGGTGGAGGGCAGCATTAATGGAGGCAGCAAACTTAAATGGGTGGGAGTTAAACAATATCGCAAATGGGTAATATTCAACTCTATCTAAGTTTACACTCAATTTCTTACCTCTTCATTTCTTCATTTTCCTTTTTATGCCAAATTATAACCAAATTAATCTGATTAAAATTGAAAAGAATTCAAAACTATTTAGAGTTATTATTAAGTTTTAGAATTTCACTTACGAAAATGGAAAAAAAAAAAAATTATGTAGGAGTTCATTCAATATTTGTGGCTGTTTTTGTACTAAGACCACCCCTTGCACCTACATCGAATTTTATATAAATTGTGACTATAGTTGTAGTTTTATAACCATTCACCATTGTATAGTTATCCACATTTTATAACCATCATATAGTTATCAACATTTTAAGATGAATTAATCTATTTCTAACTATATGGTTTATGAATTCAGTTTTTTATTATTATTTTCCCATACATGATAATGTTATAATTGACGGAACTATTCTTTCGTTTTTCTTTGACAAAAATTGAAAGAAGTATTAATTATAGTAAATTCAATAGGTTAAACGATGTGTGCATTGTGGGGGATTTGTGGAGCTTGTGGGAAAGACAACCATAGCCAAAGTTGTCTTCAATCGAATATATAAGCAATTTGAAATTTGTTGTTTCCTTAGCATTGTGAAAGAAGTTTCAGAACAACATGGTCTAACTTATCTCCAACAACTACTCTTGAATGACATTATTACGGAAGATCTAAAGATACGTAACATTGATTATGGGACCAACATGATGAAGAAAAGATTATGTCATAAGAAAGTTCTTGTAGTTCTTGATGACCTGGATAGTTTGAAGCCATTAGAAAGTTTAGTGGGAGGAAATGACCTATGTGCACTAGTTCAACTAAATGACTTTGGCATACTTAATTAGAAGCAAACATGAAGCACAATTTATATTTTCAATTAGCATTCTTTTTTTATTGAGAAAAATTGCACAATATCTTATACTAAATTTTAATTGTTATTATTATTTAAATCTTGGTAAATAACGCATGCATTTTTGCTCTATGGAGTTAAAGCCTGAACCTCTCACTTTGGAAGGAGAGAAGATCGATATCATTATCCTATTAACTCAATAGTCTGTTCACTATATTTAAGTTTTAAGTGAGTGTTTTAATCCGTTTTTTTTTTTTTTTTTTGATAAGTAGTGAGTGTTTTAATCTTTAAATGAATATATAGGTTAGTTGTGGATTTATTATTCGCACTCAATTGCGTATCTCCTTATTTTTCTTTTTTTTTTTTTTTTTCTGCCAAATTAGAATCAAACTAATCTGATTAAAGTTGCTCATGAGAATTAGAAGTATGACTGTGAAGCCAGCCATTTCTTTCCCTCCATATAGCCCACAAAGCTCAGCAAATTAGTTTCTTAAAATTTTAGAATCATGATATATCCGATCACACCATAAGAAAAGCTCCTCAACAGAAGAAACATCAGCAAATTGGACCAAATCCCAGTGCAAAACCTCACCCAACCATAACCAGAAAGCCTGAGTGAAAGGGCAGGTGACAAATAAATGATCCCTAGTGTCCACAGCACTTGTACAAAGAAAGCATCTTCGGGCCAAGTGAACCTTTCTTCTCTGCAAATTTACCATGCTTGGTAACCTGTTCTGCATTACAAAAACAGCAGTAGTAGACCACCTTGGTCTGGCTCTACCCCAACACAAATGATACCATTGGACCTCTTCTACAGCAACCCTACAACATGTCTAAACCTTCATGAAAGAAAACTTTCCCCCAGCCCACAAAATCTTACACTCTGGTGGACTGATCTGTAATGACACAATATAACTCCTAAAAAGTTGGAGGCTGTCATCCTGTAACAACTGCAAATTCCAGCCATAATTGTGCAACAAAGCTTCAACCTTGCAATGCTTATCAAGAGAAATTTGTCTAGTCTTCCCATGCCCAAATTTCTGGGCAATAGTTTGACCACCACACCAAGGATAAAGAAACAAATGAATCAATTGCCCATTCCCTATATGATTACTGACATGCTGCCTCATTATATCACTTACCTCCACCATTGACTTCCAAATAACAGAGTTGGAACCTCTAGGAACAACATTCCAGTAAGTTGAATGAGGAGTGTATTATTTCTTGAACCAAGAAATCCACAACCTATCTTTACTCACCAAAAAATCCCAGGCAAGCACATATCTGGACACCACTTGAATATCCCCCAGCTTTCTGAGACCCAAACCACCCTCCTTTTTAGTTCTAGTCACCATATCCCAAGACATCAAATGCATTTTCTGAGACTTTTCAGTACTACTCCACAGGAAATCCCTACACATCTTTTGAATTTGATTAGTGATAGCCATAGGGACAGTATAGATACAGCACCAGTATAAGAAGACTGGGTTCACCAGAGTCTTTAAAAGTTCCAATTTGCCAGCGCAACAGAGAGCAGCTTAGAACTCCAACTTTAATTTAAACAAATATTAATGATCCATAATTAAAATTACTTTTATTTGTTTGTGTATTTCGAATACGATTCTTATATCAATTGTATTGTAGTTTGAAGTGGACTTTAGAGGGTTTGACTGAAAATTAATACCTCCCAAACTGCCAGAACTCAATTTTTTATTTTTTTATCCTTTATCTCATTAAAGTAGAAATGATTACATTTGCGATTTTGGGTAAAGAAAGTTCATTTTGATTTTGTATTAAACAGTTTATATATACATATATATTTAGATGTATTGTCGAACAATCACAAGAAATAAACACAAGTAGCCTTGCTGCCTTGCTACTAGAACCACTTGTGCAACCTGATGGATCTACATAGAATTTTATATAACTCATGACTTGATAAGTCAAGTCATGAGTTATCAACATTTTTAAGTTGCATTAGTCTATTTCAATCAATTTAGTTTACGAATTAAGTAATTTATTATTATTATTATTATTATTTGCCCATAAATAAGATATAATTTTTTTTATGACCCACTAGTTCTTTCTAATGTGCTTTATACTTTATAGGCACGAAGTGAAGTTTATCCAAAACATTGTTCAAGAGATTATAAAAAAATTGGAACATATACCATTAAATGTTGCCAAGTATGAAGTGGGGATAGATTCTCGTGTCAATGAAGTGATCGCTTTGCTAAATAATGGGTTAAAGGATGTGTGCATTGTGGGAATTTGTGGCACTGGGGGAGTAGGAAAGACAGCCATAGCCAAAGTTGTCTTCAATCGAATTTTTAATCAATTCGAAAGTTGTTGTTTCCTTAGTGATGTGAAAGAAGCTTCAGAACAAAAAAATGGTCTAACTTATCTGCAACAACAACTCGTGAATGACATCCTAATGGAAGAGGATCTAAAGATACTTAATGTTGACTCCGGGATCAACGTGATGAAGGAAAAACTTTGTAACAAGAAGGTTCTTTTAGTTCTTGATGATGTGGATAGTTCGAAGCAGTTACAAAGTTTAGCTGGAGCAAAGGATTGGTTTGGTTTTGGAAGTAGGATCATTTTAACAACCAGAAATGAACGTTTATTGGTGGAGCATAGCGTAGATGAAATGTACAAGGTTGGGTTGTTGAATGATGATGAAGCTCTTCAACTTTTTAGTTGGCATGCTTTCACTAGCAACCATCCATTGGAGGATTATTTGGAACTCTCAAGAAGTGTAATAAATTATGCTCAAGGCCTTCCATTAGCTCTTCAAGTTTTGGGTTCTTTTTTATTCAAAAGAAGTCTAAAAGAGTGGGAACATGAACTGGATAGTTTGAAAAGAATTCCTAATAAACAAATTCATGATGTTCTTAAGATAAGTTTTGATGGCCTTAACGACACACAGAAGGATTTATTCCTTGACATTGCTTGTTTCTTCAAAGGGCATGATAAAGATTATGTAATGGATATATTGGGCAGTAATGGGTTTTACCCACAAATTCAAGTTCTTATTGAACAATCATTGATAACTATCTCACACAACGAGCTGTGCATGCATGATTTGTTACAAGAAATGGGTAAAGAAATTGTTCGTCAAGAATCACCTGATTATCCTGGCAAACGAAGTAGGTTGTGGTTTTATGGAGATATATATAAAGTGCTTAGAGAGAATACGGTACGTTCTAACTCCATATAAGTTTATTTGCAATTTTGTTATTCAAGTTGTGCAAAAAAAAAAAGGATTGCTTCATCTTTTTTTCCATCTAAACAGTTGTAAACTTGGATAATTTTAAGGTTTTAACACTGCATGGTAACTTACACAATGTTCTTGGTGATCAGGGGACCGAAACAATTAAAGGCATTATGCTAAACATGCCTCATCGTCATCTACGAGAGGAATTACATGTAAATGTCGATGTCTTTGAGAAGATGAAGAAACTTAAACTGCTTAGACTCAGTGGCATACGACCTTGTGGACAACTTACATATCTTTCAAATGAATTATGTTATCTTGATTGGGATGGGACAAAGTTTTTGCCATCCAATTTTCATCCAAAAAATCTTGTTCAACTTCGCCTTTGTCACAATCAAATCAAAGAAATATCATCAAGTATCAAGGTATGATCAGAGTTTATTTATACAATTATTTACATATGAATAGTATTGTCGGGCTTTATTGAAACTGATTGATTTCTTTCATTGCTTGTTTCCTTTCCAGTTTCTAGAGAAGTTAAAATTCCTTGATCTCAGTCCCTCCTTATATTTGTATAAAACTCCTGACTTGTCTAGTCTCCCATATCTGGAGAAATTAAATCTTAAAGGATGTAAAAATCTAATTGAGGTCCACGAGTCGATTGGAGTTCACAAGAGGCTTGTTAGTTTGGATCTCGGGGACTGTAAAAATCTGAGGAGTCTCACAAAAAACATCAAGTTGGAAAAGTTGGAATCTTTGAATCTATCAGGATGCTTAAAACTTGAAAAGTTTCCAGAGATTCAGGGGCGTATGGGTCGTTTGCGGGAACTTTATTTGATGAAAACTGCAATAAAAGATTTGCCTTCATCAATTGAGCTTCTTGAAGGACTTCAGTATTTATGGGTATATAATTGCCGAAAGCTTAAAAGGGTCCCAAGAAACATTTTTTATAGAATGAAGGATTTAAAATCCCTTCACATGGGAGGAACCGCTATAGAAGAGTTACCATCGTCCATTGTACAGTTGTGTAACCTTAGTGAGCTTTATCTATGTGATTTACAAAAAATGTCTCCCAAAACGCCAAATTCATTGGTGCCATTTTCATTGGTGCGAAAGAGAACTCCTGCTTCAACTAATTATTTGCAACTGGAACTGCTCTCCGCTTTGAGCACTTTGTTTCTTTTAGATCTGAGGAACTGCAATTTATCAGAAGAATCCTTTCCCAAGAATATTGGCTGTCTATCTGGTTTGGAAATATTAAATTTAAGTGAAAACAATTTCTCTAGCATACCAACAAACCTAATTCAACTCAAATGTCTGAAATGTCTTGTTTTGGAACATTGCACAAGGCTCCGAAAGTTGACTTCACTTCCGGCATCTATTGAGTATGTGAATGCACATGGCTGCAAATCATTGGAACGGTATTGGATTCCACCAAGTGCAAGTGGTCCACACAAGGGACGATTCAGATTCACTGAGTGCCGCAAATTGGTTATGGATGAGATGGAAAACATGCCAAATATATCATCACAATGTCAGCTTCAGGTTAATTACTTTCCCTCTCTCCCTCCAGTTCTCGGTCTCTTTCTCTCTCTCTCTCTATATATATGTTTGTATTCAAAACTTGATTGTGTGGGTGCATGGAACAGGGATTTCAATGGATCAGTTTTCCGGGAAGTGAGATTCCGCAATGGTTTAGGCATAAGAGTGAAGGTGAGGGCTGTTCATCAGTGTCTTTGGTGGCAGATGAACTATCTTCTTCCAATAACGTCAAAGGAATTGCCATCTGCGCTGCTTTGGAATTTCATGGAATTTACTCATCGATTGGATTTGATCTCAAAATCAACGGTTATGGCGTGAACTGGTTGGAGGATGGAGAGAGTTATTCCTATGGGAGGTGTAAAGGCAATCACGTTATTTTGACGAACGTAACTGAATATTACGATGAGTTGTCTAAAGACAAACAACCAATTAAAAATTTGATGAAGAAGAGACCAAAGCTGAGCCCAGGCCCTCCCAATATTTCTGATGATGCCTGTTACATTCAGGCTTCAGCTATATCAGTTGACGACATACGTGGTGAAAAGAAGGTGAAGAAAATGGGTATCCATCTAATTGTGGAGGAGCAAGGTGAAGGTGAGGAAGGTGAGTTCATCACTCTCTTCAAACTTAATTACTCAATTATTAAAATCATACCAACATTTTGAACTATCATAATTTTCATATATACAGCAATTAATTAATTACTGTATTTGATTGTTGCAATTTTGTAGGTTAATGTCATCATCTTTTATAGACTGCGATGTATAACAGAGAGAAATCCAAGAGGACAGTTGTATGTTTGTGGAGCAGCATCCTAGCATTAAGAGGCAAAGGATCATTTGGATACTTTTGATTGTCAATTTTGTATATGTTTGTTTTCTTGCTGTGTGTTGCAATAAGAATGACCTTTTGTACGTGGTAGGAGTGGGAACTTCTATTAATTGTCCGAATATAAGAAACTCGTTTGCAATAAGAATTTCAATTGTGATGGAAAATGTTTTGTTGGTACGTACCAAAATCTTTTTGCTCATATAAGCATTATAATTTCATATCAAGTCTTGAAAATTGCTATTTATAATAATCACACTGTGATGGTCACATGTCAAATTACAAGTGACTTCTAAGCAATACTGATGGTCACTTTGTCATGGTGCTCTTGCCTACAAATCCCTACGGATGCTTCGATCTCACCATCGATCTTGTACAGCTTTGCTCTCTCGCCATCCATTGGAAGAATTCTCTAACGTGATGGCGATAGTGGAAAGGGCCTAGGTGTTCGCAAATTCGAATCGAGTACTATGAATCTCTCTAGGGTTTGTGGATAGTTTGATATGGGATGTGTACCAGTTTGTTGCCAATTAGTAGCCCACCAGCTTCACGGACGTCCAAATCGACTCATTCATAAAATCCCTTGCTCCTCAGTCGGAGCCTTTCAGTCTGCCCAACAGGATGTTCCTTTTGTACTCCTCGATACTCGGTGTACTATGGATTGTCAATCCCAGTCCTCATTAGATTTGGGTTGTTAGTTAAATTGGCTAAATCATTTGTTGTTTGGCCTGAGGAGATCAGTGTTGACACCCTTTTTGGGCAGGGCAGGTGGTGTTGATGTGGCAAGGTGAAGTGGGCTCGGCAGTGGTGACGTGGCGGCAAGGTTATGTTAATATACGGGGAACATGAAGAAGATAATGGGCCAGGAATTGTTTAATGGTTAGGAGTGTCTATTAGATAGACTTATCAGTAGTAATAGGATAGCTTTGTTATCTTATTTTCTTAGAATAATTTTATTAGGACTCTTTAGTTTTCTATAAATAATTGTAATGGGCCTTTTTGTAAAGGCTCCAACACTCTCAAACGATCGCATTAACAGAAATCATCCTTTTTTTTTTTTTTTTTTTTTTTTTTTTGTTTTTAAAATCATGTTTTCTTAGTTTACTTAAATTCCTTTCTATTTTTTTATTCAGCCCTCTCTTAGTTGATTAAGTTCTAGTGCAATTTTCTTTATTATTCCTTCTTTGCGATTTGAATTCTTATTCCAAATAGATTCTTTTCATTAATTCAATTTGAGCAGTTATCATAGTTTTTCATTTCAGTTTAATTCGATTTCAGTTTTATTCTATTGCAATTTGCATTTCCTTTAAAGTCCTGGCAATTAGGAACCCAACTGTGAGCTTTCTGTTCTCTCTCTTACAAATCGCCTAATCTACAATTTTCTCTAAAAGAGACTAGATCTTTAAAATTGAACCAAATACGTTGGTTCTGGCACGCTTGCACTAGCCAAACTTTGTTGATTTAAGGGGTCAACATTTTGGCATGCGCCGGTGGGACCCACAAGGCGAGCGAATTGCAAACATGCCTCCAAGGCCAAAGAATTCCAAGAATGTTGTCGCAACAAATGATGATAATGAAGAAGAAAGTCAGCCGATTCCTTCCACTGAGGGTGAGTCGGTTATATAGTCTGAAGTTCCACTAGCCCAGATCGTGGACATAGGGTTGCAACTCGGGTGGGCTGGAGACTTAATTCGGGCTCAGCCCATATACAAAATCTTTTGCCCAAGCCCAGCCCGAGCCCGAGCCAAAGCCCACGCCTTTGTATTCAGAATGTAAAAAATAAGAAATCTGTGCAACTACAAGGACTTGAACAACATTCCTCTAAGAAAAATCCCCAACACACTACCAACTAAGCTATTATACACTTATGAAATAACATAATTTTTAAATAAATATATCCTTTCCGGGCTCAGACTGGGCTTCGGGCTTTATATAATATCAACCCAAGCCCAGCCCGAATTTAATTCGGGCTCAAAATACCTAGCCCAAGCTCAGACCTAGAACAGAGCCCTGAAAATTTCGGGTTGGGCTCGGGTAAATTCGGGCTTGCCTAGCCCGAGTTGCAGCCCTACGTGGACATGATGAAACGAATGGAATCGATAGTAACAAAGCCTCGACTGCTCATGAATCTGTATCTTAGCAGACCACTTTGCCATTAGTAATTCTTTTGTTCGTGCAGTTGACTGTTGCTACAGGGTCTACTCAGAAAATTCACACAGGTGGCGTTTCTGTTAGTATTCCTTGAATTACGATAGAGCCGTCAACCCAACCCACGGTGCCATTGTATCAACCTCCCACCATCCATCAGCAGAATCAAAATCAACAATGCCATAATCATCAGGGGTTACCTATCAACCCTCATAGGGAACCATATGAATTGGGGGGAAATCAGAATCATTGGAGGAATAACTAGTTTCAAGCTCCTCCTCATGTTCCACCTCTCGCCGTTAGGGGAAGCCGACGAAAATTCATCAAAGGGAATGGCCATATCTGCATTTACCACAAGTGCAGCAGCCTGCTGCTAATCTTCCACTTCCCAATGGGGGAATTGATAGAGCCCAGTTGCTTGAAATCATTAATTGGGAGATGGCCAAGGGCAGAGACGTCCGAGGTTGATGTATAGGAAACCTTATCCCGATTACATTGATCAGTATGAATTGCCCTGGGGCTACCGTTATCCTGATTCACTATGTTTAGTGGGGAAGATGCAACATCAACGGTGCAACATATTGCATGCTTCACTACTCAGTGTGGGGAAGCAGGGCCGAATGCATGGAAAAGAATTAGGTTGTTTTCAAGTTATTTAACTGGGGAAGCTTTCGATTAGTATATTCATCTTCCAGCAATTTCTATTTTTACTTAGGATCAGCTCGAAGACGCATTCTATGCACAGTTTTACCGGAGAGAGACGGAAGCAACCCTTATTGATATCTCCAGGCTATCTTAGTTGCTGGGAAAATTGGTTGAAACATTTATAGCCCGATTGTTTCAGAAAGGCCAAGCTCAAGTGCCGAGTCCCATTGCCAGAACCTAAATATATTAAGCTGGCCTTGAATGGACTAGACTTATAGCACCGTAAGAGATTTGATGGGGTAGATTTCTATGATTTGTTTGATCTTGCTAATCGTTTTACCCGGTATGAAGATATCCTCAAAAGAAGAAAAAGAAAGGAAGATGTTAGACTAAGAAGGGGGGGTTGAATTGGTTTTAGATATTTTCTTCCTTTTTCACTTTAGTGCAAGCATGCTTAACATAGAAGATAAAACTCAAGGCAATTAATCAAATCACATGGACACAAGATATATAAGGAAACCCTTTCAATTGGGAAAAACCTTGGTTCTTGGCCTTAGCCAATAAAATCATCCACTAGTTGTATGTATCTTGTTACACACTCAGCTGTCTCATTCTCTGCACACACCTAGGCACCAGAATAGACACTAGCTTTCACAACCAATCCGCACACACCAGAACACTTCAGTGCATCCACGCACTCCCCCTGTCCGAAGCACCCATGCTTGGACCCAATAAGTTCTCAATAGCTTAACCACGAAGGGGTAAGGATGTAAAGCCTTACTGCCACTCAACTGTGCGATGAGGTACGAAGCCTCACTACCACTCAACTGTGGGATGAGGTACGAAGCCTCATCGCCACTCAATAATGGGGTGAGGTATGAAGCCTCACTGCCATTTACACAAAGTGTCACACTCAACAAAGGGGTGAGGTACGAAGCCTCACTGCCATATCTAATAAGTGTCAACACACCCAATACAATTCACTTCAGCTGCACCACAAGATAAGAATGTAGAACTCAACCTGGAACAAAGTACATAGTGAAACCCTAGCTTTTAACTTCTGCAATCAATAGGATAAACCTCCCCCTTCAACTGATACTCATACTAGGATCCCATAATCTTGATTCAGCTCAGCAAACTTGCTCAATAAAGTATTAGATAGTGATTAGCAAGTTCCTTCAACAATTAAGCTCAATTAGACTTCAACCCCTCTTCAATGTCTTCACATAATCATAGCACACTTGCACAAACAATGTTTTCAATAAGCACAGCAAGATTAGGACATTTCAGTATAAACCAGTAACAAATAGGCTCAGCACAGGATCTGTTTTGGTGCCACTTTGATGTCTCTGTACCACGGGTATAAATGGTGTTCTCTAAGGTCTCGAGCCTGGAAAAATGTTCTCTTATTCTTGGTTTGTCTTCTTACGAAAGTTCAGAGGCAAAGCACATCAAGAATCATGTTAAGCTCAGCAACAAAGCAGTCCCTTCGTTCAGTATAGAGCTCTGCAACCTCTACTCTCACACTTCAGAACCTGCTCAAACTTCACTCCCCCATTCTAAATAACCCCAGTATTCTTTCAGCAATATAAACTTCCTCAGTGATAGTCTTTAGCTTAGTATTATATCAATTTTCAGTTCAAAGAATGCTTCAGAAGTCTGTTTCAACAACAACACTGATTTTAGGGTATATCTTGTATTTTATAACAACTAAATTCTGGATTTTAGTTCTCTCAAGTGTATATTGATTGTATAGATATGATCGATAGAGTAACACAACAAGCAGAGCCAAATATTTCAATTTCAGTACCCAAATTAACCTTGAAAGAACTACTTCATGCTGACGCTATGGTGGTTCACAGTACTAACATAGAACAGGTCATTCCTCAAACCAAACCTTAACTTGGATAGCCTCAAATCAACATTCTAGGAATGCTTAGATGATAAACAATCATGGTATAGCATGGTTAAACATATTAAGCTTAGTTCCATAGATTCAGACCATTAAATCAAATAAAGCTAGAGGTTCGAGATATGAAATCCAATACCAGCTTTAATATGTAGTCTTAGGCACCTTTAGCTGTTGTAAATCACTAAGTTAAGTGTGTTCAAACCTTGTTCAAGCTTTAGAAACGTCCACTGCAATTTTGAGCTATTTCAGCCACCTCTTGTACTAAAAAATCAGCTCTTCACAGCCTCATTCAGCTTCCCTTCAACCGTGCTCCCTTTAGGTAAATTTCAGAGATTCATTAAAGCTCAAACATCATATAATATCTCTGAAATTGTTATTCATTCTTAGCTCTCGAATAGAACTCTCTCTCTTAGCTGCTAGAGCCTTACTTTTTCACTCTTGGAGGCACACTTTCATAAATGC